AAATTAATGACTTTTATCTATGAAAACAAATTTTCTGATGCCATGAATAGCACCAGTGTTGTTGAAGAATACAGCAAAGGGAGTTGTTGAAGAATAGAGCAGAGATATTTTTATGTTTTTTTCTTTTTAATTTCTTTTAATAAACATGTTTGTATAAGTTTTTTAATATTTGTAATTAAAACCTTTAGGTGTTTATACTTGAATTTTTAACTATGGCAACATCTGAATATTTTTTTTCTTATGGAAAGTACATATTTTTGCTTCTGAGTAACCACTTTTTACTTTTTTGGTTGTGAAATTATCTATTATTTCTCAGTTTGTCATACAAATACATTTAAATCTTTCTTTACAAAATGTATTCTGTCTGGCTGAGAGGCAAAGTTAGGATGTTTTTGTGGACAGATGAAGAAACAGAGAGAGAGCACACATACTTCCAGTATTATCTGCATGTTAGTGACAACCGCTTCCGTATTTCTCAGGCTTCTGACTTGCCTGTTTTTAGCCAACTGACCTTTCCCAGTGCTTGATGAAGAGTGGGTCATGTCTTAAAGTGAACTGAAGCTCCAGCCTAGAAGTACGATATTAATGGATGGGGAATATCTAGAAGCTCTGATGAGACCATGTATGTCCCCAGATTAGGGATTTGCATCCCCTTTTAGTTAATTTGTGTTTTGGGGAGAAATCAGGGGAAAAAAAGAGTGAGCTGGATAACTTCACTCTCCTAACTACACTTAAATTACTGTGTATCAGCAGCAACGAAGTTGTTACTCTTGTATGCCAACCAGCCCATATGGGCGCATGTCTTCATCCTTCGAGATCAGAGCAGCACGTGATGCTCCACCTTGGGCTGCACCTTGTATTGAGTCAAGCTAGGAGCACTAGAGGAGGCATGTACGTGCCTAAATGGGGCTTCTCACTTGCATTTCTTAAATCAGATTGAGCTTTCTAATGACAAGAAATATCTTCATTTGGTGAGCATGCCGTGTTTTTCAGGGCACACTGTTTCTGGTTTAGGATCTTTGGTTGACACCTCAATAGAGTGATGATACAAATACATTCTCCATTTGGCTTTGATCCCATGAGGATTATGAGAGTTATTCTCAAATCATTGTTTGGAGGAAAGTGTTGAAGTTATTGGTAAGTTTTGCCAATTTGAAGGTCTGAAAAGCAAAAGGGATATTATGAAGGCTAGTAACTAGTTGTTCTTAATAGTTATTCTGTTACATTGTGGCAGAAGAATTGAAACAAACATAACCTGCAGTCTGCTGGTTTATGTTATGGAAAAATGTATGCACAGGGTTTCTGTTCCAGGACATCAACTCACATGTAATAAGAAAAAACAGTGGTGCATATGCAGTTCTGTTAGAGTCGAGTCATAAAAGTATAAGTTACGTGCTTTGTTTTCCCATACAATACATAGGAAGTAATCTAATAAGTTAGCATTTCCGCGAGAATTACTTCAAAAAAAGCATGTAAGTTGAGTCCATAGAAAGAACTGTACTACTGGAGCAAACTCAAAAGTAAAACCTATTTCAGAATGACTGTTTTGGATCCTCTTCTGTTTGATTTGGCTCTCAAGCAACTCTTCCTCTTCTCTTTGATGCTTTTGGAAGATAATACTTTGAAAAAAGGCTTTCTTCTATACCTGAGCTACTTCATAATGTTGATACTTTACTTGAACTGTAATGAAATAATCTCTTAAGGATATTATTGTGGAAATAGGGAGATGTCCCCATTTAGTGCCTGAAGTAACCACATTGCCCTGATTGGCCTGTATCCAAAAGCAGCTTGACGTAAGTTCTGCTCAAACTTAAGTTTTTCTAGTTTGCAGGAAGAACTTGTCCTTTTACAGGTCTCTGGACAGGGATTAGAGAATGGGAGCAAGAGAATGAATTGTGTGATACATGTGTAGTAAACTTAACACTGAGTTCTGGGTTGCTCTTGAAAACTTCTTGGTTGTATACATCCATATGCTGCAGTGACCTCTGCTTGGTGTGGTTGCATTAGTCTTTGGGTGGGCTTTTATGGAAAGCAGACTTTAAGTAGATGATTCGCACCCGCCTAAAAATACAACATATGAACACATCTTCTGTTTGAAACCTAAGCAGTAGTAAAGCTTTCATACATAAATATTTATCAGGATTTTTTTGTTTGTTTTTCTTTATGCTTCCATCTATAGGTTTTCCCTGAATCATTTCCTGAAGTAACTTCTGAACATATTGAAAACTTAGATTTGACAGAAGAGTTGTAGTCTAATTTTACTAAGCTTGTACAAATTTCATGGAAATTCATGAGCATACAAGAGAGGTAAATCCAAAGTGGATCTTAAGGAAGGCAAGAAACATAGTATGAATTCACCACCTGTCTGATCTGTTTGCTAATCCGCTAGCTCCTCAGCATGCAGGAACAGGCTGCCACAACACATGCATTGTAACGGACACTGGAACCTGAAGGGACACTTGCTGCCTTTTTATCCCAGCCAGTGGTGAAGGTGCAGGGGCAGGAGGTAAGGGTAAAGAGGGGAGGACATTGTAGGAGATGGGTAGGAGAAACTAGAATTGGGGTTGGTAAAAGTGTTTCAGTAGGGGAGAACAGGAGATGTATGTGGCAAGATTGATCTCTGTGATATTGCTGTGGGTGGTACAAAGTACCACATCCATAGGATGACAGGTTATTTCTCTTCACATAATGGCTTGTTTAGAATAAGCAGTTGGCTTGCAATGTACATGCAGCTTATGAATTGCATGTGTAGTACATGTAAAACAAATTATGAAGGAATGAGGGGATAAAGTATACTTTCAACAGTTCCAGTGAAAAAAATGTTTAAGAAAATGCACTCATACAAGTTGCAGGGTATGGTCAGTGCAGATGCGACTGTAGTTTTGAGTGCTAGCTTCAATGTACATGACATGGGTAAAAATGGCAGTTCTGTCTAAGCGGCATGCCTCTGACTGTACAGGCCACACAAACCTGTAATGGACACTAAAAGCATATGTGGTTGTCTGGCCCACTGTCAAAGTTCTTGCTGCCAACCATGTAGACACACCTACAATTAAAGTAATAAAAGCACACCTATGTATGCTGTAAATACACGTTAATTTTGATGTACAACTATTGCAGTTTTGCAAACGCTGTCTTAGAAAACCTGCGTTGTGCTTTCTGTCTTGAGAACATGATGGAAGTTCGCTCTGAGCAAAATGTTGTTGTCACCATGCTAATCTTGGAAGATGGGCTGTAGATAGTGGTTTTCACTTTGGACTGCAGAGTTGTTATGAGAGCCATCATGAACTTACCATCAATGGTTCTCAGTCCTGAGACTGTACATTTTTATTTTGCTTTCACTGGTGTTTTTTTTTTTAATATCAAAAAACCAAAGGTCCCAAACAGTCTGTGGAACTTCAACTAAACTGTGGTACTCTTAAACTCCATAGCGGTTCTGACTCTTTGGAAGCATGACTGCACCAAATTGTCTTACTGTTTTAAAAATCAGTATTTTTTAAGTTTCTGTTCATGTACATCTGAAGTTGTCTCCTTTAACCTCAGTTTTCAGTTATGAGCATCTATCTTTCGAGAGTTAGTAGAGCACTAATGTGGTAAGGAAGGCTACCACTATTACTCAGAAACAACAAGATTTGTTTCCTTGCCCTTCTTATGAACAAATGTGGGAGGAAGGATGAAAATGCTGAGATCGTCTTTTGCTCCTCTCTCCTGCAAAATACATTGTTTATTTTAGATCTCGAGTACTAGGAAAAAGTTAAGAGGTTTGTTGCTATGGCGTAGCCATTGTGCTGATACCACTCTGCCCGTTTATGAAGGAAATAACATCTACACGTTAAACAAACTGACCTTGCTGGCTCCAGTGTTTGCTATTTTACCTGAATTGGTTTGAACATACAGTGCTTTCAGCGTAGTTGGTCTGATAATGAACTATTCTTACTAAGTATTGTCACTTTCCCCAGTAGAGGCAAGACCTCTGTGGTTGTTACAGAAGTAGTAAAGCCGTATGACTGACCGCTGTGAGAAAGTCTGAGCTGTAGAAAATTTGATTACAGCTGCCAGCCCCCAAAATGCACTGTGCTTTGCAGCCTATGCACTTTTCTAAGCTGTATATACAATCCAGAAAGGAAAAACAGATCTTTCTTTTGTGCTATCATATGGTGTCTTGCCAGCGTGTTATTATCTGAAAGTTCTATTCCTAAATCCTTTTTTGATGACTGAGGTTTCTTGTACCTATGCTTTCCTCTCATCTTCCCTTATCCCTCTCTTATCTGTGCTGTTAACTGCATTGGTGGATATTGCATCTAACAGGGGAGTAGCTGGGAGAAGTAGACCACTTCAGAAATCTATTTTCTAAGCATTTATATCAACCAAGCCTGGAAAGAAAAAATTCTTTTTGAAATATGAATTGGTGGAATTGGCTGTATAATGTAACTGATCTTTGTAGTACAAGTTTATTATTAAATTATAATATTAACTTCTGTTTTACAGGAACACAGTCCCAAACTTGAGACTTGGAATGACCAGTATCTCTAAATGAACTTGTAGTTTTCAGTATATAAAGACCCCATAGTGAACAATACCAAACCCTGAGAAAAATTATAAATTGTGATGATGTCTTTTAGTGATAAAATTCCCCAGGCATCAAGAAATATAGCAAGACTATTCTAGCCTACATTTTGTTCTGTTTTAATAATGTCCCAACGGCTGCTCTTTGGTGCCAACTTTGTTCTCAGTTTCTGCAACAGGATACAAAGATGGTTTTACCCACTGGGGTTTAATTTATGCAAATTAGCAGATGGCTTTGCAGGAATATGATTTGTTATGTTTCCTGAGTGGATGAGTTTGCTTTTTTAAATACTCTGGCAGCAACAGATTTGTCAATATCTTGCATTATATTTTTGAAATGGCCTTTCAATTACTTTAATTGTGGTTTGTTTTTTTTTCCTTTCTCTCTTTTCTCTCTCCCTCCCTCCCTCCCTCCCCCCCGGCTCTCTCTATAGATTCTGGGACTTTTCCAGGCCTAACCCTTTGCTGGAAACAGTCGAGCATCATACTGAATTTACATGTGGACTAGATTTAAGTCTTCACAACCGTGGTCAGGTAAGAGCTGGGATGAATTTACTTTTCACTTGCCTGTTATAGTCAGCGTGGTCACGGCCGGACTTCTGGGCTTGGATCCTGAAAAAGAGCCACCAGACTGCAGAAAGCTTTTGGAAGTGAATCTGGCTGAATACTTATTCAATAAACCTCACTTCAGGTCCGTTTTTATTTATAAAGCAGTTACTTGCATTGAGCAGAAGAGGAAGGCAGGACAGACAGAATTACAAAATTAGATAGCTGAAAGCCGTGGTGAGCTCAGGGAAAATGAGGTAGTTTTGTTTCAGAAGGAAGAGTAATAGAGAAGGGCCTAGAATGCCACACTGAGATGCAGAGTTTTCTTCCATCTACTTAAAATGTCGAGTTAAACATTGGTAGTGCCACACATGATACCTAGACCAGGTTTGTCATAATATTTGGAGTGCTAGAAGTGGCTTAATATATAGTTAGAATTCTAAAACCCTCAGCTTTTGAAGGGAAACCCATTTTTTCTGGGCTTATTTATGGACTGGTTGTGGTAGGATTCTTCTCTGCTTCTGTTGCTACAGTAATTTCTGTTTCACAAGCAGAGGATTGTTGTTTGTAGTATGAACTGTTTTTTCAGACAGGAAAGGCAGAAAAACTGAAGTTAATTACTTGCTTTAAAGCAAGAAAGCCTATAGTTTTCACACAGAAATTACTGTCACTGTGTTAACTGTAACTAATACACTATTTAATGTGCCTCAGATATCACTTGCATCTAGATTCCTTTCTCATTCACAGTGAAAGTAATTTCTTACCCCAGATAAAATTACTTGTAACATCTGCAATGAAATTCTGATTGGACAAAGCAAATAAAACCGTTTCTGTTACTGATAAAAAGACACAGGAGGGAGATGTAAGTTTGGCAAAATACTTAGTTTAATGGATGTGGAACCATTCTGGTCAAATGCTAGCTTGAAATTTCCTGCCTGGTTGCTTGTTCCCTTAATTCTCCTTCCTCAGAGGTGCTGCAAGAACTCTTCATGAGTCTGTGCTAGTTTGAATGGCTGAAAATACTTTCTCAGGTTTCAGGTTATTTTTCATTGGGGCAGGGCAAGAATAGGTTAAAGGCCAGTTACAGGGAACTAAAACTTCATCCCAAGTGAGGACATAGATATGAATCTGGCTGAATAGGGTCCAGAGAGAGCAGCAGGCATAGCGTATATAGTACATTGGGGTCTTACAGTGTAACATCACTGCATGCTCTGAGCCCAGTTCAGCTTTCCATGAAGTTGGTGTGGGTTTTGCCATGGATCTGAATGAGGTGAGAAGATTTTTCTTCATTTTGTATTGAGGATGTAATTACATCTTGAATATAAGCCTACTGCAAAGAGCCCTGTGTGTTACAGAACAGGTCTCAGTGGATGGTGTTCCTGACTGTGTGGCTAGATACGACTTCTGTTTGTATGATTTATCTGTCAAACTTGGACCTGCTGCTATGTGGATATTCTTTCTTTTGTAGCTGCAATTTATAGAATAGCCTTCTTGGAACAAGGACAAGTAAATGCTTATTGATGATAGATAATGAATTGAAAGCAAAGAGCTGCACATGCATTTATATATTGGAAAAAGGAAAATGTTGGTGTGCATACCTATCTATATTAGGGCATTCATGCATCCAGGTATTTTTCCACACAAATTCTACACGTTCTGTTGGACTTAATGCACAAATTCTGTAAATCTGGGGTACGTATCCATGTACACTGCATGCTAATCATAGAATGGGGTTTAGGTTGGAAGGGACCCTAATGATCATCTAGTTCCAACCCCCCTGCCATGGGCAGGGACACCTTCCACTAGACCAGGTTGCTCAAAGCCTCGTCCAGCCTGGCCTTGAGCACTTCCAGGGATAGGACATCCACCACTTCCCTGAGCAGCCTGTTGCAGGGGCTTACCACCCTCTCCGGGATGAATTTGATACTTTGATCTCATCTAAACCTCCCCACTTTTAGTTTAAACCCATTACCCCTTGTCCTGTCACTACAGGCCCTTGTGAAAAGTCCCCCCCAGCTTCCTTGTAGCCCCTTCAGGTACTGGAAGGCTGCAGTAAGGTCTCCCCGGAGCCTTCTCTTCTTCAGGCTGAACAAGCCCAACTCTCTCAGCCTGTCCCCATAGCAGAGGTGCTCCAGCCCTCTGAGCATCTTCATGGCCCCCTCTGGACTCGCTCCAACTGGTTGATATCCTTCTTATCCTGAGGGCTCCAGAGCTCTCAGGAGTGCTCTCAGGAGTACTCTCAGCAGTACGGCTCCAGGATATAGTACTCCAGGTGGGGTCTTATGGGAGCAGAGTAGAGGGGGAGAATCACCTCCCTCGACCTGCTGGCCAGACAAAAGTTTGGCATCTGCAACAGCTTTAATATTCCGCTGCTTAAATAAAAATTCTGTTGAGTTGATTTAATGTATTGTGAAGGTTGGATATCACAGCAGTATAAAATGTAAACATTCTGGGTTTTAAAAGATATTTTAAAACCTGTGATAGAATTAAACTATAACTACAAAATACTGAATGAACACACTGCATAGTTGCTTCCAGTTATGAGCACTTGGAGTCTTTCCCTGGCTTCCACATTGATTCAATGATTCTTTGCTTAAATTCTGTGCTGCTTTTCCCAATATGTAGGTTGCCTTCATGCCTGCTCTCTATTAAGGCCTGATAATGAGCCCTACTTATTGTTGTCCTTCATGAATTTATATGATTTGTGATATTCCCTGTGTGCTTTGTAAGGAGTTACGCCTTGAGCTTTGAACTGCTTCTGTCCATGCGTGCAGGAGTTTACTCGTAATGGACAAGCTATTCATTTATAGTCAAATTAAGTACCATTGTGGTCATTAACCTTTGCTTTCATTCTTAATGATATTTTTGTTGTCTAGCCAGATGGTATTTTCTTGGGCTGTGCCCAGTGAACTTCAACATTTTTGAAGTCTCTCTTACATGTCGGGGGAAAAAAACCAGTCTGTACTTCTGAAAAGATGTTCAAAATAGATACTGTGATTAAGTATCTGATCTAGGAATTACAAAACATTCCTGCAGAACTGATTGGGCTTTAACAGAATCTGCAGGCAAAGAGTAGGTGCATGCAGCTGAGCTGGCTTTTGTGCAATATCCTTCTAAGGGGAGGTAGTGTGTGGCCATAAGGAATGGGTCCCAGGTTGTGAAGGTAAGTGTTAGCTAGGTGAAACAGAAAACTCCTGTGTGCTAATTAAGGTTCTGGTATCTGTTTTGTGGTATTTCAAAAATTTGAAAGCTTTGAGTTTTAATAAAATCAACTGTTGTGTGGTTTGGTTGTTTTGGGTTGTTTTTTCTGCCATATGTTGGTTTCAGGCTCATAGCAATTTCAGACCACTAAGAAACAAACTTTCAAGAGCATTGAAAACCCATGCATTTGACAGTGCAAAGCACTAACAGAAATGGTCCTCATGATATTCAGGGTATTTCTCTGTTAAACTGCAAGTGCTGATGTGAGAGCTTGCAAGGCGGGGTATGTCTAGCAGAAGATACTCCCAGCTCAAAGCTATTTTCACAGAAAATAGCTTTGGAACACACAAGAGCAGCGACAAGACCCTAAGCAGCTACAGTATTATGAACTGAACAAATCCGTTTACCTTGTGAGCAGCATTAAGAATATGCAGTTTTTAAAATCTGGCATGATTGTTCTTTCCAAAGTTTTGGGATAAGAAAAACAATTAAAGCTTGCTCCTTTCCATATATGTGAGATAGGCATGGAATGTATATAGAGAATATGTAAATGGTAATCAGCTTTATATTGTTCCTCATTAGGGGCTGATAATGCTAGACTGTATATTGGAATTGTGTACTGTAGCTCATCAAATTTCATATTTCTCTCCTGATACTCACTTCCCTTATATGTGATCTGTGAATGTTCTGATGAACAGGTTTACATTGAGAGTGGGGAGGTTTAGATTAGATATCAGGAAGAAGTTCTTCCCGGAGAGGGTGGTGAGGCAGTGGAACAGGTTGCCCAGAGAAGCTGTGGATGCCCCATCCCTGGAAGTGTTCAAGGCCAGGCTGGATGAGGCTTTGAGCAACCTGGTCTAGTGGAAGGTGTCCCTGCCCATGGCAGGGGGGTTGGAACTGGGTGGTCTTTAAGGTCCCTTCCAACCCAAACCATTCTGTGATTCATTCTATGAAATAAAATATTCCTTTAGGCCTAAAAAATCCCTCATTGTGAGTTTGCCATGATTACCTACAGCACTTAAGCATGAACCTAACTTCATTTGGTATTATTTTTGCATCTTTATTTAAAAGCAGCCATTTTCTTTTGTTGTAGGTTGAAGTGATGTGGCAGTCATGAATTAATTTTAAATGTCTTCTAGGCAATCCATCAATGACACGGATAAAAAGTACAGATAGTGTGAGCATTTCCTTCTTCTTTCTTGTCTTGATTCTGAAATTATTTCAATAAGTATATGAAGAATAGAAGATATATTATATAACAAATTTCTTTAAATCATGGACAAAAAATACCCAACACTGTCTGTTGGAAGTGCTAAAATTGTATTCTGCTTAAAACAAATGTGAGAAAAACTGAAGTTCTGAATTTTGTCTGAAAACTTCTCTCAGCCTACACCTCACATTTGTCCTGAACCCTTTAAAGCAGCCAGTGGAAAATATAAATTGATGCTTTCCATTGAGCTAGACTTTCCATCTTGCTGCTGAGAACACATTTAAGTAATTAATGGCAACAGGAGAGGAATCTTTCCATTTCTCTGTACGCTGTGAACAATGACATTCCTAAATTGCAAGTATATGTGATTTTCAATGGAAGAGATGGCAAGTGGTGTAGTGGCTTAGAACGCTTGATATGTGAAGAGCACATCAGACATCTGTGACATGCCAAATCAGAACAGGACTGCGATGATAGGCAATATTGATGTCCTCCCTTTGGACATTAAAATAATTCTGCACCAAATTAGGGTAAACCAAATGTCAGTTCTCTAGTCCAAAATCAGCTGTTACCTGAA